CAGCAGGATTTTCCAGTGCAAATTTCTTAAAAATGCCTCAGACTTTAGGAAGGGAGGAGTGCAGATGCAAGTATCCCTGAGTGGTCTCTGAAAAACTGGTGTTCATTTCACGTGTGACCTGGACCCTCTTTCTTGTCCATTGTCCATCATCCCTCTGTAGCAGCCAAGAAGCTCTCAGTACCATGTTCAGCTATGGCACGGTCATCTGGCAAATTAATTTTTCTCCCTCTTCTCCCATCAAAAACCAGGGTGTAATACAGTGTTTGGTGAGGAATATGAGAAGGAATACCAGAGGAATTATTACTTGGGTTTTAGTCTATTTTTGTGTATTTCCACAGTGCTTTGTTGATCAGGAAGGGGTAAGTCTGAGGAGCCTGTTGTGAGCTCTGGATCACATCTGCACTGGCATTGGAGCCCTCTCTGTGTCCCCCCAGGTCTCAATTAGCCCCCCCCCCAAAAAAAAAAGTTCTTTCTTTTCCATACATGCCCATATTCTGATAGAATAGGGCTGCATGATGTGGTAGGAGTGGTTCTCCATGGAAATTCATGTGTGAGATAGCATGTGTCTAAGAGAGGTGTCTTCAGCTCACTTCTTTGCTTGACGTATTTATTGGGCTGTTTTTTATAATCTCTCTTTACCTTGCAACCCGCTTCCAGGATTATTTTGATTAATCTTCCCATAACTTAATAATTAAACACATTGTGGGTTTTCAGGACATGAGACTTCGAGTCAGGCCCATGTTCCACCCTTTCTTCATTCTTGCAGTGTTGAAAGCACTTGCCCAAAGCATTTATGCCCTGCAAGCAATATAGTCTTTTTAAAAATGGATGTGACTCTTGGTCACATTAGTTTTCATCATGGAAAACTTCAAGTTCTGCTGTAAGTATTTATCAGGTGGAGGAGGAATCAGGTAAGAGGTATGAAACAGAGTTAAAAGGCTAACGCTCGATTTAGAAGGTAGGCTTGTCATTAATAACAGTACAAGTGTTTTGACATCAAAATGTGCTTCACCTGAACCTGATCTATGAGTGTCATCTGGGAAGTCTGAGAAAGCTACTCAAGTGGAACTTAGTAAATATGTAAGTTTTAGCATTCCTCTTTCAGTTTTCTAATGACAACATTGAAAAGCAGATGGGAGCTCTCTGCCATAATATAGAAATTTTCTTGAATTTCTGTGTATATTTTTGTCTTTTCAAACCATATATTTTCTAGGTGATAAATCTAGAGTCATCACTGCACAATATCCTAAGCAGTTACAAAATAATAGTATGGCTAATTGTGGGTATTGTACAGCCAGTTTGTAGAAGGTGAGTGCACTTCTGAAAAGTTATATAGCTATATTTACAAAGATGGATAAAAATAATTGGAGCTTGAGTATTTCTCAGAGTAGAACATAAAGTAAAATGTTGAGGAACTAAGAAGTTTAGCACTTAAAAGGCTGAGCATCTCCAGGGTGCAGCACTTCTTTGAAAGTGAGGCAAAGATGGATCTATCTTCCTATGGAGAACATCGCACGTGTGCTCCCAGACAACTGTGTGAGTAGAGGCTGTAATTCAGGAAAACTTGTATGCGCTATTTCCTGCAGTCCAATGTAGGTGGGCAATATCCCACTGGAGAGACTTGCCAAGCTGCAGTAGCAGCCTGGCTGTTAAATTGACAGCTGTGGTGCCAGCTTGAGTTTATTCAACTCTTGCTTGAAAGAACCAGGCACAAAGTACAACGGGTGTCCAAGACCTGTCAGAATTTTAACCCTGAGGCAAATGTGATCCCCTCTGTCATAGTGATGGCTTCAAGCTTTTCCCTGGGGAAGCTTCCCCTGAGATAGGCTCCTGCACATAATCCACCGGAGGTGGTCAAAAGCCAGAGATGGGTTGATAGCTGGGTTTATCATTGTCTTTTAGTTTGGGGTCATTAAGATTCACTTTTCCAGTCTTTCAGTTTTCTAAATGAAAGCCTAAGTGTCTCCAGTAATCTGTTTCTTCAGGAACTAGCATGCCATCTCATTCTCAAACCTCAGCATTAAACCATGAAAATGGCAATGGTGCAGGTACAAATTGACATTACATCTAGCCTCGTGGCAAGTGTCAGTGCACTTATACCACTTATACCTATACCTACTGTAAAGCTGCAGTTTGCCAGCAGCACGGCTCAGAAATTTCTACATTTTTCTGTCCTTCTGGCTGAAGGATACCCTTTTTGCTTGTCTTGCATCCATTTTTGCTCTCTAAGTAGCCTCTTCTGTGTCGAGACAGCTGCTGGCTCAGCAGGATTTTCTTACTTATGACAGATGATTTATATGATTTATGATTTATATGTTTCAGACAAAGGCAGTAAAGAGGTGCTAGACTTGAAAAGTGATTTGACAAGTGGTGAGGAGTCTTTTGGATGGAGAAGGAAGAAACTTGAGGGTTTTTTGGGTGTTTTTTAAGGACTAAAAGAACTTCAGGAATTCTTAAAATTGTAATGGGTCTCTGGCCTGGAGCCGGTTTGATGGGTTACGTGTCAAATGTACTCAGCAGTACAGAAGGACATTTCTGTTACACTAAGGTTGTACACACATGGTTTTTTTATAGTGGAAGTCAGTCCTAAACGACCTTGTCTTCAACTGCTGAGTCTGCTACTTCATCTCAGAGGATGTCTTCCTATCCGTTTTCTTTCAGTCTGCAGCAGCACTTTTATGCTGTGTATGCTCCACTGCCTCAAAATCTGTTGTTAAAAAGACTTGTATCCTAAGCCTTTTTAAGGAGTCTAATGTGTACCTTAAATGCCACCATTTGCACTGTACAAATGTCTTTAAACATCTTTTAACATTTGAACATAACAGAATGCAAAGTCTCGCTTTGTGCTTCGCTGGGCTTGTGCACACTGCATATAGGAAAATCCATCAGCATGTCAGTTCGGCACAGCTATCGCTCTTAGCAAAAGCCTACGAATTAAATGTTACTCATTAAACTCGGGATTCAGAATGTGATTTTTTTTTTTTTATTATTTAACCCAGAAAAAGATTCTTAATACCTCAATTATTAACCCTGTAAATCTACAGACAAAAAAAAAATCAAGTTTATGAACTTGCGTTTTGGCTTTGTGGAGAGTTCAAGTTCCTGCATGTTGCAAGGCAATATTGTGCATGTGCAATACTTGTAAAGTAAAAATAGCTCAAGGATTTTTACTTTACAAACTTGGCACAGTCTGTAATTCTGTGAATGACCCTGGTGAAATATGCATGATGCACGTGTGCTATAAATTTGTTTTTATTTAGTAGAGGAAGTAATACAAGGCTTCTAATTGTTAACTGATGGCTTTCCAGATTGCACAAAAGATGTATTTAGAATTCTTTTGACTGTATTTCACAACATTGTTGAGTTTTTTTCCTGTATTTGTGAGCCTCTTAGTTTGTAAATGACCTTCATTAGCAATTAGTCCTCTACTTTGAAGATTTTTTTAAATTAAAGTATTTGTTTTCATCTTCCCAAAGGCAAATATCCATTATCTAAATAGTGTTACACTGCATAAAAAATTTGTTATGATAAATTTGTCATTCTTGAACAGCCTCTGGAAATGACAAATGAAAAATTTGCTTGTTGGTAATGTAATTAGTGGCTAACTACACTCTACATGACACTCTACATGAATTGTGATTAAGTGCAGTTTTCATTGTGCGTATTTTTAAATAGCTAAAGGAGTTACGCTAACCCTTAGAATACAAAAGCACCTGTAAACCTCTCTAAAGAGGCAATACAAAATATTGTGTGTGTTGTTTCATGAATAAAGAAACTTACAGCTCTTTTAAAATACTTAATCATTTGGGGGAGCAGCGGCCCATAGAAGGAAATTACATTTAATTTGATGTTTTGCATTTAGATTGATGATTGTTATTAAGATCTACAAGTGTAATCTGATGATATGAGCATTTGCCTACTCCCCAAGGGGAAAAGAAAGGTATTGAAAAAGTATGGGAGTTTACCAGATTTACGGTAAGGATTCTGCTTTAACTTGTGTCACACCAACACTAAATTATTTAAAATGGAACTTGTAAAGCGATTTAGTTGTCTAGATTGACTTTTGGCAGAAATTATTCAAGTGTCTAGTTTTTAAAAAGTTGCTTAAAAATGTAACTTCCACAGTGTTGCCCTGAGGTGATCACCCCAGCATCAGTGATGACAGAGTAGTGGGTGCTGCTCTGTTGCACCAGGGTGCAGGGACGTCGCTCCACATCTCCATTTCACCAACACCTTCACCAGCTCTTGTTCTGGCCAGAAATGCATTTTATTTTTCCCCTCTTATTTCTGCACAGCAATTCGTTGGAGGCTCCCCAACCAGCTGCTTTCACAGCCTCCTCAGCAAGAAGCATGCCCGCCCACCAGGAAAACACGGAGGTGAGACCTGCTCCGGCCAGCACCGTGTCAGCCGCAGCACTCAAGCCAACGGGACCCCCAGGTGCCACCAAGACCTTGGGCTGGCAGCCTACAAACCAAGCAGGTAAGTGAAGCCTTTCTGGAGGCTTTTTCTTGTTCGCTGAAAGACGTTTGCATAGCTCGGGAAAATAAACTTGTTGTAAAAACAACAGCCTTCAAATGGTTATTTGTATTTTTTGAGTGCAGGCCAATTTGTTTAGAAAAGAGGAGAAGAAAAACAGCTTTAGTAGTTTTAGTAAACGAGTAGCATGTTGTAAGTAGCCTCGCAGATGTATTTGTTTTCAGAAACAAGCAGAATCAGATGTCTTTGACCTCTACTAAAAGCATGTATACCAGTCAAAAAAAAAAAAAAAATAAATATACACACACAACTCAGAGTTTCAACTTGGTGCTTCCCATGTGACTGTAAATTCAACAGAGCATATGCCATGCCATGTTAAGAGTGGCAGTATCAACAGACATGTGTTTTCTGACTGCTTTTTCCTGAAGTAGATGTTAATTTAAAAAAACCAAACAACAAACAAACTAGAAAACTCACCAAATTAAACCATTGGAGTGGGTTTGTATTTGGCATTTGTAGGTTTTGTGTGGAAGGTTCCAGGGTATTGCATGGGTTTGTGATACGGAGATTTGTTTAAAGATAGGTTCTTGCAAGAACAATTTAAATAGCTGCTACCTGTGAATGTAGTTTGGTAATTCTTATGGCTTTAAACTAGTACCAGAATGTTTTATGTCAGGAAAGCATCCCATTTTCTTTATGGACGCTCCTATGTTATAACCATAGATGCCATATGTGTAATTGTGTACTTGCATTTTCATAATATTACATGAAGTAATTCGGGTTATTTTCTTCATGTAACTTGTTTCTTAAATTGAATCAATCTTTGGTGCTGGGCTAAACTCGAGTAGCAGTTTCAAAGGATCTGGGAAATCTGTATTACTCATTAAACTTAACTGTAGATGTTTCATGCAAGAATAAGGTGAATATTCTTGACTTTTCTTCTGATAAGATCTAAGGTGCTAAATAGCGTTTTTGTTTGGTTGGAGGTTTAGTTTGGGTGGTTTTGTTTGTGGTGTTTTGGTTTGATTTGTTTTTTTTGGTTTTGTTGGTTTTTTTGGTGTTTTTTTTTAAGTTTAGCAATTATTTTTTCGTTAAAGGTTTTTCCTCTTTACAAGTATGCCCAGTCCAGAAATGGAGCTATGGAGGCCCTGGCATAAAAATAAAGATAAAATGTGCGGTGTTAATGCCATATGTTTTATAAAGGCTTTGGCACATCTGGCTAAATTACTGTTCTGCCTGGTAAAAAATATGTATTTTGTTTTGGACATGCAGTTCTGCTAGCAAGCCTCAAGATGGCAATACACTGTCACTTCTATACTTCCTTGTCAAATATCACATATATTCTTAAGGACAAGGTAAAGACTTATTTAAATTTTATATCAGTTTAATTCTAGCATTGTTTTACTACTTGGAGTTAGCTTATCATTAGAAGAAAAAAAACCCCAACCAACTGCTTTTAAAGTTACATTTTTGGTGGCATATGTACCTAAGGCAAATGTTTGTGAAAATGATAATCCTGCATTCTTGTAAGTGACTGATTGTGCTCCATGTTTGACATAACTCTCTTTCTGTCTCACCAAGTGATAAATTTGCTTCACTTGCACAGAAACCACCTGTCAGCTTGGGGTTTTGGTAGTACCACACCCCTTCGCAGTATGTTGGTAGGTGTTTCACTGCTAAATCCTACTAACATGCTTTAGTTTTAATATGTCTAATGTTTGAAAAACAAATATATTTTTTTTAACGACAGACACATGAAGGAGAAAGATTTAGGAGGATTAATTCAATTTCACTTGATTCCATGCTGCTTTGAAAATCTATACCCCATGCTCTTGGATAATGTGAAAATCTTTTTTTTCACATTATAGAGGTACCAAGTAGGTAGGTGAGGGGGAAAGTCAGCCAGAGAGTTTTTGGTTATGTTCCAGAATAGCTTACCAAAAAATTATGAAATTCGTACTGATAGAGAAGCTGGTGGAAGGCAGTGGTGGTGAGGATGTCAGCTCTGTGCTGTCTTCCTGTAGTGACCTGGGATATGGTGCTTAACTTCCAAAGCAGCAGAGTCATCACCTCCTCCAAAAATATTGGGGGAGTCAGAAATAATATCTGTAGGAGAAGCCGGCATTGAAAACTCACAGTTTCTTAAAATGGGGAAGAGCAAAAATAAAAATACCCGAGGTTTTGCGTTACCTGAGCTTACTCAATAAGGCTGAAAGCAGCAGTCTGACAGGTAGAGCTGTTTCAATAGTTGAGTGTTTTGATAAAATTAATCAGATCTTGAAGAAAACAACTGTAAGTGTTTCAGGGCATGTTTGGACTTCAGTCATTAATTCTGCTGTTTGTTTGCAGTCTGTGAGTGTAAAGTTGTCTTTAAAGTAAAAGTTGGTCTTCACAGGCCAAACAAAATTTGGCATCATAGGCCTGACAAAATTTTAAACAAACTCCTCCCTTTGAGCCTGATTGATTTCATAGTTGAAGTCTGGCTTAGGAAATAATTAGAAGGAAGATATAATCTTATGTAAATGTGTATATCAGTGTGCTATTAATAGAAGAAACTTATTTGGAGTACAGTTTTGCAGCTCTAATATCACTCACCCTTCTAATGAATATTGTATATAACACCACGTTGTTTCCATAGCAAAGCAGACGTGTCACAGGATGTTGTAAGTGTCTGGGGAAGCTGTAATCTGCTGTTTGATGGCACGGCATGAATATTACCAGTGATTTTACTTATTAAGACATCTGACTACACAGATAAGTCATTTGGTCAGACAGCATCTTTTAGTTTACTAGCTGGGATCTCACTTTCTTGGATAGGCCACCAGAGAATGCCCCTTTTTTATTATTTTTTTAATTAAAAGTAGCACTTTTTTTTTTGTTCCAGTTTAGAGTTTGGGGGTTTTTTGTTTTATTTATTTTTTTTTATTTTGAGATTGTGCAGAGATGCCAGAAGGTGTCAGAGGGCTTTTGTTGGAACTGAGGTATGATCTCTGTTGATCTCTGCTTCACAACCTGGCAAGAAAAAGGTGTGGAGGAAAAAGATGGTCTAAAATGAGTGGCTGAGATAGTGGACCTGCAGAAGCTTGAGGCACTGGGTTCCTCTGAACATAAGTCAATCAGGACCCAAGTGATCTTACAGTGAGAGCACCCTTGGGGCTGAACTGTCCTCATCTGCCGGCACTCACATGATACCCACAAACACTGGTGACCCACTGGGAAGGTAACAAAGGTTTTATCCCTCTCTGAAATAAAATCCTCATGTTACAGGATTCCTCAGTGGTTTGGTAGGGAAAATGAGGAATGGCTGCCTTGCGCTTTCTTATAAGGCAAGGGTAAGAAGCTGGGTAAGCAGGATAAAAGCCTGGCTTGTCAAACAAATAAACAAAAAGCTCTGATTGTTAGCACATTGGCTGCACAAGGAATTGAAGCTGGGGGCAGGTGGAGGGTGTACACATGTGCAGTGGTAGCATCTGTCTGGGCTGGTGAGGCCGCACCTCGAGTGCTGTGTTCAGTTCTGGGCCCCTCACTATAAGAAGGATGTTGAGATTCTGGAGCGTGTTCAGAGAAGAGCCACAAGGATGGTGAGGGGTCTGGAGAGCAAGCCTTATGAGGAGCGGCTGAGGGAACTGGGCTTGTTTAGCCTGGAGAAGAGAAGGCTGAGGGGAGACCTCATCACCAGCTACAACTACCTCAAGGGAGCTTGTAGAGAGGTGGGTGCTGGTCTCTTCTTCCAGGTGATGGAGGATAGAACAAGGGGAAACGGCACCAAGCTGTGCCAAGGGAGGTTCAGGTTAGAGATAAAGAAGAAGTTCTTTACTGAGAGGGTTGTCAGAAGCTGGAACAGGCTGCCCAGGGAGGTGGTGGAGTCACCATCCCTGGATGTATTTAAAGAGCAGGTAGACGAGGTACTTAGTGATATGGTTTAGGGAGTAGACAGGAGCGGTTGGACGTGATGATCTCGGAGGTCTTTTCCAACCGAGCGATTCTGTGATTCTGTGTGATTTGCTCTCAGCCTCTCTTGTCTGTATTGTTGATTTTTTTCAGTTGTTGAAATAAGTCAAATTGTGGCTGTTACTTTGTGTTGTGTACAGGCTAGAATGTATAGTATTTCTCACTTAATTTTTGTTGAGCTATGATGTTCTGTTCACCCACCAGAGGGAGAAGCTTTTTACAAAATAGTATTCAATTTTAAAAACAATTGCCCACAGCATCCCAGCTACATCACAGTGAGTTATGTTACTATTTGATAGCTAACTTTTACCCCATGCTTACATAGCATTGCTCACCCTGCAGAAACCCCACAGCATTTTCCAAACTCGGTACCATGTGCAAGCATATGATGCACACACAGGAGTGGTTTTCCCCCGCCACTGCCACACAGTGACTTCTTGGGTGAAACCTAACAGCTGCCTGTCAGCACACTGTAACACTCCACGGCATCTTGAAAGGAAGTGTGAATAGCACCATGGCAAATTGAAACTGCTGGGACGATTTAAGAAAGTATAATTACCCAATAAGTGCAGTTACACAAACTGGAGTTTGGCCAGGAGACTAACTATTCTTGTGGAAAGTGCAGCAATGGTCAGAAGCAGTTGGGACTTCCAGCATTGCAGTTCTCACATGAAATTGCCTCCTCTTTCTTGGCATTTTCAAAACGCTGTTGTGGGAGGGGGAGCTGCGGGTGCAGCGGGGACCAGAGAGGCTGGGCCCCAGACACAGCCCTGCCAGCACCACATCCTGCCTTCCCACACAGGAGCTGGGCAGGCAGCATTCTGCTTCACTCATAGGGGGCCCGTGGTGAGCTGGTACAGCTGGTGGCCAGAAAAGCTGATTTGGAAAGGTTTCCACTGCAGTCAATGACCTTCATTCCTTCTGAGTTTGTCAGCTGAGTATGAGGATGGGATGGGGAGGGTTTGTGATAGAAGAGTCTGAAGCTTGCAGTTTTAAGCGACCAGTTACCCTGTGTGCGAACGTCCTTATTCCCAGGGTCTCTCTCTCAGCCT